CAATAAAGCTCTCTCTCTCTCTCTCTCTCTCTCTCTCTCTCTCTCTCTCTCTCTCTCTCTCTCTCCCTCTTTCTCTCACTTCCAAGATTCTTAAGAAGCTTCTTCTTCCTCCCAAGAATTTCATAACAAATAACTTATTCTATATTGTTATATCTTTTTTTATATTAAAAATTATTTATTTTATTAGAGGTATATGCATATCAAAAAATCAAATGAATAGTTAGATTTGGATTTAAATATTTTAACCCATATCTATCTTATCTTCTTAACTCATCATAAATTTTATATTTGAATGACCCATGAGCATCTTTATAAGTCAATATTAATCAAAAGACCTTGCATCTAGCTTGGTTCTCCAATGAAAAAAAAAGCTCTTCAAGCCATTATTCATGCACATCATATTCCAAACTATGCCATAATTCTATATTGTCAAAATGGGAGAACCAATACTTAGATGCAAAAGCATCTCAAAGAGTTAAAATCATATACCAAAACAAAACACAAAAGAAATAGAGCAAACAGAGACAAATAAGAGACAAATTAAAATTTATTTAGTTTACATAAACAAAGTCTATGTCTATGAGAGAGGAGAAATGACCTCAAATTAGTGCAGACAATAAATATGTTCACTAACTAATCATTCCCTAATCCCAAGTACACCTTCACTCAATCGAAGAGAAAACCCATAAAAACTTTCACAAAGAAGATTTCCTCAATTCAAGGTTTTCCTTTCTCATGCACCTTTAAAGGTAACTAGTTGGCACATTTTCAATAGTTCTTAGAATTGACTAAAATGAGATATTTACCTCTTTAATGACGAAGAAGCCTTACACAATCTTTGTTAATGAACAAAATACTCAAACGCTTTCCTTAATTGGAATAGGCAATGCAATCTCTAATACAAGTGACACATTTTAAATCAAAGTTCTCTATGACTTTGGAGGTAAATCAAAATACTTTAACATTATAATCTCTCCCTAATATAATCTCAAATATAAGATTACAAATATACAATGAAAATCTTAAAATATAAATACAAAAAAAAAAAACAAAATAAAGTAAAGTTGCAATTAAAAATAATCTTAATAGAAAGCATTAATACAATATCAAGTCTGAGATATTACAAAGAACTTAAAAGCTCAATGGTTAATTTTTTTGAACACATGAATAAAACCCAACAACCCCCCCTCCCCCCGAAAGTGGATCCCTTCCTTACTGATGAAAATTTTTCAATGAAAGTTTAGGTAAAGGTAGGTTGTCATGGTGATTGATTAGATAATTTGAAGTGGAGGCAACTAGTTGGCACATTTTCAATAGTTCTTAGAATTGACTAAAATGAGATATTTACCACTTTAATGACGAAGAAGCCTTACACAATCTTTGTTAATGAACAAAATACTCAAACACTTTCCTTAATTGGAATAGGCAATGCAATCTAATACAAGTGAAACATTTTAAATCAAAGTTCTCTATGACTTTGGAGGTAAATCGGAAGAATTTAACATTATAATCTCTCCCTAATAGAATCTCAAATATAAGATTACAAATATACAATGAAAATCTTAAAATATAAATACAAAATAAAGTTGCAATTAAAAATAATCTTAAAAGAAAACATTAATACAATATCAAGTCTGAGATATTACAAAGTACTTAAAAGCTCAAGGGTTAATTTTTTTGAACACATGAGCAAGAAAGATCATTACTAAAAAAATTCAAGAGGTTATTCCATATTAAGCATTAGTTTTTTCCAACTTAGATTTCATTTTGGAAAGAAAAATGAAAGTTGGGAAAGTAAGACAACGCAGTAGAAAAGCTTCTTGTGTCTCTAAACTAACCATTCCAAGATTAAAAGTTAACAAGTGCACTTCATAAGCAACTCCATGCTTATTCTTATAAAGCTCATTTATATTCATTTATTTGCATAATGGAAAATGCTTGAACATAACATTAAAGGCTTGTGACGAGTTGAATGCTAACTTCTTGTTCATTTATGTTTGTGAACATGCTCATTTGTTATTTAATAACTAGCTTGTTATGAACTCAATTAAATGCTCATTTAATATGGGCTTTCTTTCTTATTTAATAATCTTAGAATTGGTCCAAGTTTAGGCAAGTGTTATTCTACAAGATATTACAGCTATGTAAATACCTATATATACATGCTTTAGGTTGATGTATTAGGCACTCCCTGGATCAGAAATTAAATCAATAAAGCTCTCCTCTCTCTCTCTCTCTCTCTCTCTCTCTCTCTCTCTCTTCCAAGAAGCTCAAGAAGTTACTTCTTCCTCCCAATAATTTGATAACAAATAACTTATTCTATATTGTTGTATCAAATTTTTATATGTTATATTAAAAATTATTGATTTTGTTAGAGGTATATGCATATCAAAAAATCAAATGAATAGTTAGATTTGGATTTAAATATTTTAATCCATATCTATCTTATCTTCTTAACTCATCGTCTATTTTATATTTGAATGCCCCATGAGCAACTTTATAAGTCAATATTGAATCAAAAGACCTTGCATCTTGGTTCTCCAATGAAAAAAAAAAAAAACTCTTCAAGCCATTATTCATGCTCATCATATTCCAAACTATGCCATAATTCTATATTGTTAAAATGGGAGAACCAAAACTTAGATGCAAAATCATCTCAAAGAGTTAAAATCATATACCAAAACAAAACACGAAAGAAATAGAGAAGACAGACAAATAAGAGACACAAATTAAGATTTATTTAGTTTACATAAACAAAGCCTATGTCTATGAGAGAGGAGAAATGACCTCGAATTAGTGCAGACAATAAATATGTTCACTAACTAATCATTCCCTAATCCCAAGTACACCTTCACTCAATCAAAGAAGAACCCCATAAAAACTTTCACAAAGAAGATTACCTCAATTCAAGGTCTTCCTTTCGCATGCACCTTTAAAGCCTCCAATCCTCATAGAAACCCTGTACATGGCCAAAACCCAAGCCAAAATGATCCCTGCGTATCGCCATTGACCTCCCTCCATGGCATGTAGAGAGAATATACAAAAGGTAAGAAGTAAATTTTAACAAAAACAAAAGTAAATGAGCAGTAAAAACCCAATGAAACTCAAGCAAGCTCTGAAGAGTTGGCAGCCACCAAATTCGCATATGTTTGCAGTTACTATAAGTGGAATCAAATAGATAGAAACACGTCAACAGATGCACATATTCAAGAAAGGCATCCTTTATGTGGTCATTCCTTGCTGGTTCCTCACATCATAGCTTCCTTAGTGGGCTGCAAAAGCAAAATGATAATTAGTATTGAAAAAGCAAAAGCAAAGCAATAATTGAATAATGTACTAGCAGAGAAATAGTTGCTGCAGTTTTTTTGGTTTGCTGTTTCTTCTTATCAGCCAGTGCGCTCTTCATTGACTCAGATTCAAGCAGCTGAAGCATAATCATGTCAAAGTAGCAGAAGATTGAGACCTTGAAAACAACTTGTATAGGGCAGATACTCAGAAAAAGCAGGCTTTCAAGTGTTGTTTTGTATTTGTATGAATTATCAGTCTAATGACTTTATAGGATTTTCAAATCTGAATGGAATAAGGTTGGTCCCAAAACTAGCATTATCGTGGTTGTCATCATCATCATCATTAAACTTATTGTAATTATTTGAAGTTAGCTTGTTGATGAGATCTCATTCTTCACTAATTTTTATCGAGTGCTACTTGAGGTTGATAAATTAAAATTTATGCAAATTTCTTTGCAATTCTATTAATAATGTTTCATTTTTTCTATCTTTTTTTCCTTCTTATATATCTACATTATCATCGTTGTCATCATCATCATCATTAACCTTATTGTATTGAGTGTTACTGGAGGAGATAAATTAAAATTTATGCAAATTTCTTTGCAATTCTATCAACAATGTTTCATTTTTTCTATCTTTCTTCCTTTTTGTATTTCTACATTAATGTAAGTTATCCATCTTAGTAGTATATCCTCTACTCTAGCTCTGCTTTGTACCTAGGCTTGAAGTGAAAATAAACTATCATTTCTTTAGCTGATAGTACCCATAATCATCAATCAAGTAGTTAGCATTGGCTTAATAGAGATTAAGGCTTTGTTTGGGACGACTTTCTTACCACTTCTTAAAACATCTTTGTAGTACAAAAATTAAAATTTTTATACTAAAAAGCTGATTTAAGAAATAGTAAGAAAGTAGTCCAAAACGAAGCCTAAACCTACAAATATTACCATGATAAGTGATAAGATCAACTCATCCTGACACTATTTGCCTTACTTGTAAACCTTTCAAGTTTACACTGTCATATTTTCAGTAAGTACCATTTTTACAATTCCTCTTATATAATAATTCTCAATCCTTTTTTGCCTTCAAATTTTTAAACATCCTTACCAATACTCTAATTTATGTTACTATGTTAGTCTTTTCATTATCATCCAACCTACGCTAAGTTGAGCACCGATTGACTTACTACTCTCATAATTTCTCTCATATAATTATTCCTCGAACTTTTTTCTTTAGATTTTTCAAACACCCAAATCAATATTTTTATTTCTGTCGCTCTAAACTTATCTATCAATAATTTTTTTTTATTATGGAAGACTATCATCTAAAAGTAATATGTTAGGTGTGATGATTGGAATAAGGCATCATTGTGAGGGTGCAATAGGGCAGCATCATAGTAAAGACCAATCTGAATGCAGGCAGTTGTTTTCCACTATCTAAAGAGCCATAATAACCACACATGACTGCAAAAAGGCAAACTTGTTGCTCCTTTTAACTGAGCAAACAGCACTGGCTAAGTTTCTCAGTAAAGAAGTATTTTTAATACATACCATATTTGATTCATATGGTAGATTTAATAAATTATTTCTTCAAAATCTTTTTTCATTCTGAAAAAGAAGATTAAATATTGGGATCTTATGGCTCACATAAAGTTTTCACATATTCCTTTAAAATATTTACTCAAAAGTTTATAATTCATAGCACTAAGGAAGTTTTCTCCAAAGAGGACTTGAACAAAGAAGAAAAATAAGAAACACAAAGAAACAAACATTAAGGCTTTGTTTGGACTGAAGAAGCGAATGAAATCAAATCTCAAAAACTTTATAAATTGATTATGAATCTGCACACATTGATTGATTTAAACTTTATCAACTCTTTTTTTCATTTCCTTTTGCTCAGACTGGTTTCCATACTGAAGCCCAAACAACTGGTTCCTCCTTCCATGTTAAAAACAGCCCTGATGAATCTCCAGATGCTGGTAGAAGAGACCAACCTAGCTGATATCTCTTCAGTAAAGCCTTCACATCATCAATAGCATCTTCGCTGAAACTCGCCGCGACGAAAGCTTCTGATAATCTCTTACACCATTGAGTCCCCTTCTCTCTTCTCTCAGCACACTCAGCATCTTCTCCACAAGCCAAAAGACCAAGTATACTCCTTGAACACTCCCTTTCCAACATAAGCCTCTCATTGCTAGTAGGCACAAAGCTCTCTTCCAACATCTCAAAAAACATACTGTAAAATCTCAAGCATTCTTCAAAGCACTTGAAGAAATCATCTCTATTGCTACTGAAATCTACTTCTTCCTCCACAACAGTAACAACTCTCGGCCGAAGAGAACTGATCATTCGAACAAACTCTTCCCGCCTTTCTACCCCTACTCTTCGAAAAGCTCCTATGCAATTCACAGCAACAGCTTCATCTTCCTTTACTCCAAATTCCTTCTCCCTCAGTTCAGATAAACTGGAATTCCTGTTTATGACATTGAATTCAAATGGTACTCCCATCAACCTCGCAAATTTCTCCATCCTTTGGCCTATCTCCTTCATCACAGATCCTCCCGGGCCGCCGCCGATGACTACAACAGAAAGCTTCAAGTGCGGCGTCTCATCGCTACGGGTCGCCAATGATTCAAGTAAAGTAGGCCATTGGGTGCAGTAAGTGTTACTGATATCAATTATGTGAAGCTTTGGCTCACCTTCTAAAGCCTCCAGGATTGCACTGTTGGCAGCTACATGACCAAAGGTTGTCCATGGACTTACCTCCTGAAACTTAAGAATCACCTTCCTCGCCGACTCGAAAGAATGGCTCTTCTCAGCTGCAGAAACAAGAGTTCTGTAAGATTGCTCGCCGGACTCTGTCACCTTGCAGAAGAGAGCTTGAAGAAAGTAAGAAGCTATCTTTTGCTCACAATCTCCATAAGGGGAAGCAAGCTCATTAAGCATCCATAAGATATGCTGAATCTTTGCAGAATCCTTATCAGAGATTGCCTTTGCACATTCCTTGAGAAGATTGGCTGCCCATTTGTTTGCAACACTTGGATCACCTTGTTGAAGAAAAAAATTTGAATTTTGCATATTTTTTTCTTAAGTGGTCATGGAAATGGTGAAGAGGAGAGTTTGATGATATCAATGTCAATATATGTAAATTAAAGGAAAGAAGAAGGAAGAGAGGGAAAAAACTCATTAAAAAAGAAAAAAAAGAAGAAAACTATTAGTTTAAGAAAGTCTATGTCATGAAGATGGTTTAGTATTGTCATCTATCTTATAAATTATATTGGCATAACCATATCAATAACATTGTTAAATGATCAAATCACCATCACAATTAGGTGAGGTTGTTGTTTCCATTTGTCTAATAAATTTTTTTTATAATTTTGTCAATTATTAGCCATAGTCTAATTAAGCCATTTGTTGGATATGATATTAAAGTTAATTAAATTAACCAAGAAATAATTAGTTTACTTTCTTCTTCTTGCTTGATAGTAAAAAATATCTAATGCTTTATCATTATAGATAATAATTGTAAATTAAGCGCTCCAAAGATTATAATTAAGATGTCCTCATAAAATTTTACTTTTTTGAATGACAAACCTCAAACAATTCAAAGAAGATATAAGTCTTATAAAGCCTCAGAATCATAACTTGAAGTTTAATGGTACTAGAACAAGATACACTATAGGAATATCTTAATTTACCGGCACAATTATATCCCCTGGTAGAAGCTAGCGGAGGTGTAACCGGTGGATATTATGCCGCAACTTAGCAGCGGAGTTTACCGGTGGCAAAACCGTTGATTTTTATAATTGGAAATGACATTTTATCGACTATTTCAAAGTAGACAGACTTCCACCGAATAAATAGTAAATAATTTATAAATTTAGTGCTCCGAAGATTAAAATTAAACTCTCCTCTCATAAAAATTTTCACAATAATAAAATAAGATAAAGAAAAAATTTGTTTTTATAACAAATAATTTCATCCCAAAATATAAAAATATATATAAACCTCTTTTACATAAAATATTCTCCATTAATTGGCCCTTAATTAGAATATTTAGCTTGGAGTACTTAGTTTAATGCAAGTGTTCAATCAAATTATTTTTTTAATCTTTGAAACCCCTCAATAATACACCCACTTTCTATAACGTCAAAGGCCTTTTGCAAAAAACCATTCCTTCTTTAGCTTTTAGTGGCTAATTGATGCTATTTATTTATTTATTTTTTAGCCTCTTTGGTTAAACCATATAATTTCTCTCCAATATTTTTTTTTTTAGAAACCTAAAATTTTTTGAAAAAGATTTACCCTCAATATAATATTTAAAATTAAATTAATTATTCAAATATTATACTAAGATTAAAATAAATTAATTTATTTTGATATTTATGCTAATAAAAATTTGGTCATAATATTCATATTTTAATCATTTTTCTTTCTAAAAATTCATAAATATGTAGAAAATTAATCATTAAAAAATAATTTCATAAGGGATATAAAAAATAAAACAAAGGTATCTAAAACCTTATTATCCTTAAATGAGAATAAACAGAAGATGACAAAAGCTAAGTTCTTATTCTTCTTCCAATCATTAGAAAAATGACCAAAGCAAAACTCCTATCATATATGAAAAAAATAAATAATAACAACATTATTATTATTATTATTAATTTGTTATTTTTCCAAGATTCCAGTCATATGTGGATTATTAAATTTAAATAATTATGAAAATATTCAGATGGTTATATTAGTTTAATGGTAATTAATTAATGGGCAGAAAAAAGAGGACATGAAAAGTTAAATACTGCAAAATAAAAATTGTAATATTTATTTTGCAATACTATTTGTTAAGAAATTGACCTAAAAAATAAATATTAATTTTTTTTAAAATTAAAAAGTTCAAAATTTGTAAATAAGATTTTCACTCATTATCTGAAATTTTGGAGGAGAATTTCTCAATTTCTTTTATAGAGATTATTAGTTGTGTTTTGTTGTATTATATTTAATGTAAAATAATATATGGTTGTTTTATAATTTTTTTTTAATTTATATAAGTGATGAACCTATCTAGTAAAAAATATTTAGAGAGAGACATGAATTGGTTAAATAATAAAAAATATGCTTATAATCATACAAATAATGAATAAAGTTAGTTAGAATTATCTTTAATATAATACATTTTTTATTTTTGATTAATTACATAATGTTTTTAAACAATTATGCATATAAAATTTTAAATCAAATTTAAATAGTAGTTAATTATTTACTATGTTGACGTAAAAACAAAAAAAAATTAAGAGCATCTTACAAGATAGCTACAATTAAATGAGAGGATTTTTTTTTTTTTTTTTTTCTTAAAGACTAGAACTTTGTGGGTATTATGAAGTCAGCCAATGATATATCCCTTTAAGTTTTTTTTTTTTTTTTTTTGGGAAAATTGAAGGCCCCTAGCCTATTTTCATCATATTAAATGAGAAAAAATTACAAAGAAACATATGAGAGCAAGGCCTACTCAACATAGTAGAACAAAAATTGGCATTGCTCAGTATACAAAAAGAATATAAAAAATTATAACTAAGTATGTCCAAAAGGAAATGCTAAAAAACTAGCAAATAAAAGGGGAATGAAATAGTTTTGACTTAGATGGTAACAAAAATTTCATGTTTACGATCAGCTCGTAGCACTAATAAATAAATCATCCGATTGCCTGAGCCGAGGAAGTGAAACCATCCAGGGTGAATTCAGAGAGGCCAAAAAAGGGGAACCAATCATCATTACCTAGTATACAAGTAAACCAAAGAAACCCATAACATCAAAAGTCTCCATAAGTGAACACCAAACAGTTTATCTCAAGAAGTTTTGTAAAACAAGCCAAATTTTCTATTTTGAAAAGCTTGAGAGTGGCATCACGTTTAACTTTCCAAATAAATGAAGAGTTGCTCTTAATTTGCAGCCCATATTTCATTGAATTACAAACCCTCCATAGATGATAAACCAAACAAAAAAATAATAGATAGAAGCCATCCTTAACATTAACAGGTAAGGAACTATCACCTTTAATAAATTCCAGCACCTCACCAAGTTTAGGCCGTAGGGTGAAGGATGAGAATAAAACATAAGATTACATAATGATTAATAGGAAACATCACATTACAAAAAGAGATGAGTGAAACTTTCTAGGAAAGCCAGGGAAAGACCACAAATAGGGTTAATGTGAATGTTTCTTCTATTCAAAGCATAACCAATTTAAATTATTAATTATCCTAGGCTTGGCCTTCCCCTCCCGAAAGCAGCAATTAGAAACATCATCATGGATGAAAGCAGAAGAAATTAACTGCCTAATTGCCACATAAATAGAATGGGAAATAACCCATTACTTGTTACATAAAAAATCTGCCACTAAAAAGAAAGATTAACCAAGGAAGTAATATTAGCCACAAATACCATAAAATAGGGTTAATATGAATGTTCTTTTGTTTAAAGCATATTCAATTTTCAGATCCACCTTGAGGGCCAACCATCCTTATATAGAGAAATGAATTGAATGCCTTTTGTGCCAAAGAAACTATTGCCAAGGGAAAGGTACAACATTATCATAAAGGATGCAAGTTTTTATCCTAGGCTTGGCCTTCCCCTCCCAAAAGTAGCAATTAGAAACATCATCATGGATGGAAATAGAAGAAATTAACTCCCTAATAGCCATAGGAATAGAGTGGGGAAGAGCCCATTCCTTGTTATGTAAAAAATCTACGATTAAAGAAGTAGGACTAAACAGGGATGGTAGGCAATATTTTTGTAAGCGCCCATGAAAGATGAATTCCAAAAATTAACTCCCTAATAGCCATAGGAATAGAGTGGGGAAGAACCCATTTCTTGTTCTATAAAAAAGTTGTCACATAAGATATATTTAGAAGCACTTGGAAAAGACGAATTCCAGAAAGACAAATATTTTTGCTTACAGTATCTAGAGAAAAGAGAATCCTTAATGATATCATGCCAAATAATGGAGCAATTGTAAGCATGAGAAAGATAAGAGATGGAACATAAGCCAAGACACCAAGAAATAAAGGTTTTCAAGTTTCCTTCTAGGGTATAAGATAGATCTTCCTAGCTTAAATGTCCCCATGGAAAAGGAACCGGGCATAAGTTTTGTTAAGAAATTTGATACAAGTTTTTGAAAAAATAGATCATCTAATCCAATAGGCAATAATATATGCAATGGTGAATTTCAGAAACTGTAATCTACCTTCCATAAGAACAAAGGCTTACATTTTAAACCATCTAGAAGAGAAGCCACTTTACTCATCAAACCATGAAATTCAGCAATGTGATTTTTGTTGAGAGGGGAGGCATTAGAAAACATAATAAAACTTTTTACAAAATTGATCTTCGGGATAGATACAATCAAAAAAGAATTAAGGATATTATTGAAAGATGTGATATATTTGTTGTTAGCCCTCCCAAAGACTAGGAGGTAATCAACATACAAAGATGCATAATGTTCATGTTGCCAACTTTTAGAGTGCCAAAAGGCCCATCTAACATAGCATCATCCAGGCATTGTGAAAGAGCATCAATTGCAATGCATAAGAGAAAAGAAGATAGGGGACAACCATATCTCAAATCTGATGATGAATTAAAACATCACTTTAGGCTACCATTAATACATAAAGAAAAAATGAGCATTCTCAATATAGGCCTTGATTCAGCCAATGAAAATATTGGGTAAGCTCTTAAGTTTCAACCTATTAAGAATGAAATATTTAGAAACCATATGAAAATATTTACAATAAGATACCCGTTAACTGAAAGGTCCCATTCCTTAGCACGTTGTTCAACCTCTTAATTAGAGAAGTGAGTTGTGTTGTCAACTGGTTGCACAAAGTTAAGAGGGAAGGTAGTGGAACTAGGTTTTTTGGAGGAAAGCAATTTTTTCCAGTTAAGGGATATCTCAAGTTTAAGAGATGATAATGAAGAAGGATTAGGTTTTGTTATTGAATATAATAAAGGAGATGATGGTAAATGTAAAAAAATCGAGGTGTAGAAGGCCCCCAAGAAGAGCATTTTGTGAAGCAAAGTTGCTTGGTGTTTGCTAAAAGATTGGAAAAGAGAGAAATAAGAGGCGCGCTATTTCATGTGATAAGAAGGGGTATCTAGGGGTTTCTTTTTGTTTATTTCCTACTTTGATGTAAACAAGATACTTAGAAGAGCTTTTGTAATAATTATTATTGTCAATAATCAATATTTGATTTTTATTTAGTTATCAAATATTTGATAAGCTTCCATTAAATAAATATATAAATATGTAATATTTTTTGTTATGCAAACTAGTATTCATGCCAATGACCTTTTATGGTCAGTTTTATGCAAAAAATCACCAAAAGTTCCACTCTGTTGGAATGCAAATTGGGGGCTTAGTGTCACATAATAACTTAATGATAAATAATAAATCTTAAATTACATAACTCATATTGATCTCATAGAGACAACATTTTTCATCTAATTAAGCAAAATATCCTTTCACATCTATCAATTTTTTAACCAAACCACTAAGGCTTCATTTGGGACAACTTTCTTACTACTTTCTAAAATAATTTTTTTATAAAAAAAATTCTTGAATTAAAATTTTTGTACTAAAAAACTGTTTTCTAAAACTTTTTAGTAAAAAAAATTCTTGAATTATAAATTTTTACAAAAAAAAGTTCGCCAAAGCAGAAACCTGAAATAACTTATCGAATTTGACATTCTTGGCATGCAAGCTTCAACTTGAAGAGAGATTTTACGAAACATAGCCATCCTTCGCAACAATTTCTTACTAATTTCTACAGCAGCTTTTTGGTACAGAAATTTCTTAAAAATAACAAAAAAAATAATGACAAAAAGCTATACCAAATAAAGCCATAATCTTTCAATAAAGCAATTACGAATTATAACAACAAAGGATATATTCATTTATTTTATGAAATCACTAGCGAAAAATCAACACGCTAAGACAATGATCACCCATCATAAAAGCATAGAAAACTAATTATATTAAGGCTTCCTTTGAGACGTTTTTCTTACTACTATCTAAAATAATTTTTTAATACAAAAATTTCTAGTCCAAGAAATTTTTGTTCTAGAAAGTTATTTTAGAAAGCAGCACCTGCCCCAAACGAAGGCTAAGGTTTCCTTTGAGATAGCTTTCGTATTGCTTTTTATAACAATTTTTTAGTACAAAAATTTCTAGTTTAAGAAATTTTTGTACTTATTAGAAAATTTTTACAACAACAAAGGATAAATTCATTTATTTTATGAAATCACTAGCGAAAAAATCAACACGCTGAGACAATGATCACCCATCATAAAAAGCATAGAAAACTAATTATATTAAGGCTTTCTTAATTTGGGACATCTTTCTTACTACTAACTAAAACAACTTTTTAGTACAAAAATTTCTAGTTCAAGAAACTTTTGTTCTAGAAAGTTGCTTTAGAAAGCAGCAAGAAATTGCCCCAAACGAAGGCTAAGGTTACTTTGGGACAGTTTTCGTATTTCTTTATATAACAATTTTTTAGTATAAAAATTTCTAGTTCAAAAAATTTTTGTACTAAAAAACTGTTATGTAAATCAATACGAAAATTATCCCAAACAAAAATTAAATCTAATTTTAAAATTAAAACATTTAAGTTACTTTGGATACATGTGCCTAGAAATATATCTGAAATGAAATTTTGATCATAATGAATCTCAATGAAAAAAAAAATTATATCTGAATATTCAGATATGAATAATATCATGATGATCTTAAAAAATATTACATTTGCTCTAACATTAGTGTTTGTATATGAATAATTTATGATATATTAATATCAAAACAAATCTAATAATTTCCAAATATATCCTGATACAATTTGTAATAAGATATTCTGATAATTTTTCCATCCCTTTGAATGGCTAATTCCCTTACCTGAGAGGCCTAATGTTTCCATCCCTTTGAATGGCCCTCCTCTGTGTACGGCTCCAAAAATCCAATGAACTGGAAGGAGAAAGCCTGGATTAGCATGTTAGCTAAAGGTGATTAAGGCTTCGTTTGGGGCTGCTTTTTTAATGCTTTCTAAAACAATTTTTTCAAAAAAATTATTTTAGAAAGCAATCAAAAAGCTCCCAAATGAAACCTAACAAAAATTCTAGAACAAATAGTAGCTAAACAACTGGATATTTTTTTTATACCTCTTGGCAATTTGTACATCACAACGGGTGGAGTTAGAAATTTTCTTCATGTGGGGGCAAAAATTATTGAATTTATAAATACGCTCAACCTTTTTCATCCAGGCTTGGGATCGACATTGATGGTTTTTTTTTTTTTTCAAATATTATTATAAAAAGATAAAATATATAATAAAGAAAAAACTCACAATTGAGAATATTAGCTCTTGATATTCTTACATAATAATACCTATAGTTTCTCCCTTTGAGTCATCATTTTTTAAATCATTATATAATTAGTTCATTATCAATACTATTAAATATATATATTTTTAAATATAAGTTGACAATCATTCATTCAAGAATGTTCCATATGATATTTTTGCATAAACAATTTTTATATAATATTCATTGCAGAGAATGTTCATTAGACCATAGTTGTAATTAGCAATATCAAAGCAAAGTTTATAAGTAGAAAAACCAAATGATAAATATTATTTTTAATAGTTTCAACTAAATTCTGAGCAAGTTCTTCAATTCCTTTCAAATTCATGAATGCATCAGTTGGTCTCACATCAACAATTAAATTTCTAATTTGATTGTCTAATATGATGATTTCTATTTCTAAAAAATCTGACAGATAAAATTTTGCAAAGCATATCAATCATTATTTATCAACAACATCAAGCTTGTATCCCACTGCATGGGGTCGACTACACGAATTATTTTTCTCCATTATGTCTTATTAAGAGTCAAATTCTCATTTAAATCTAATAAAAAAATATCATTTATAATATTTTCTAATCAAGCCTTTTTAGGTATATCTATCTTTCTTAACAAAAGACAAATCTAATACATCTATTCTCCTAGCAGGGTCATTGGAAGGCCATCGTTTTATATGACCAAACCACCTAAGATGACTCTCTCTAATCTTATCTTCCATTGGATCAACTCCAACCTTGTCACGCATGTGCTTGTTTCGTATCCTGTCTTGAAGAGTAAAGTCACTCATTCGCCTGAGCATCCTCATGTGTGCAACACTTGAATTAATATTATGCTTCTCTTTAAATTGTCAACAGTCTGTGTCATAAAGAATCGCAAGTCTCACTAACACCTTATAGAATTTTCCCTTAAGTTTGAGGGAGACTTCTCCATCACACAACAAGACCGATGCATTCCTCAACTTCAATCATCTTAAAGTCAAGTAATAATATCCTCATTTATTTGATCATCACTTTGAACAATAGTCGCAAGATATCTAAAACATGTACTCTTATTAATGACTTCATTGCCCAAAGTGACAATCCCCTATAGATCTATTACTATTAAAATTACATTCCATATATTCGATTTTAGATCTACTCAAATAAAAATCGTTAAACTCTAAGATTGACCTCTATAATTCAAGTTTACCTTCAAGTCTCTCTCTAGTCTAATCAATAAGAAGAATATCATCAGCAAAAAGCATACACTAGAGTACAACCTCTTACAAATGTCTTGTGAGATCATGGCCTCAAGACAACTATGATCTCACCCACAATAATCATCTAGATGGTAGGAGGGGAAAGAACCAAAGTCGTTAAAAAGAACCAAAGTCGCACCGTATCCATGACAAAAGCAAAAAGATATGGGCTTAAAGATGATCCTTAATGTAATCCAACTAAGATAGAAACATACTTGGTCAAACCACCTTGTGTTTGAACACAATCGCTCCTGAATATATATCCTTGATGACTTGAATATAAGCATTATTAACCATTTTCTTTGCAAAAACGCATTGGGTTCGGGTTCGGGTTAACCCGAATAGTGTCGGGTTAGTTTCGAGTTCGACCCGAACCCGACCTGTGACCCGAAATTGACACCCCTACATGAAAGGGAGAAGAGTGACTACCAGGTCTGCCATTCAGTAGAATTTGCTTGCTAGATCGAACTTCGAACACCCAAGTTAACACACTAGGAAGTGTAAGGGTTCTATTATCCTCGTTCCAAAAGAGATTATACCCATTAATAACATGCTATGTTGCACCGATATAGATACGGCGAGACAGTGCCCCCAGAACAAAATTTTATTATAAGAGTTATTTTAAAGTTTTCTCTACCTTCTCGGTACTACTTGGTACCATTCGATACCCCTCTGTACCGAGCAGTACCGAGCAATACCGAGTTCCGGTACCGAGTAGTATTGAGCATACCAAGCAATACCGAGTTCTGGTACCGAGTATTGAGCAGTACCGAGTATCGAGTACCGAGCAATACCGAGTATCGAGCGGTACCGAGCAGTACCTAGTACTAAGAGGTACCGAGTACCGAGTACTGAGCGGTACCGAGTACCGAGCAGTACCTTGTTCCAGTACCGAGCCTACGATTAAGAAAACGAAGAACGAAGAAAACGAACCTTCAATGCTCACGTCGCCTTCACTGTTCGTGTTGTCGAGTTGCTCCATCGATGAAGGATTCTGTCGGCTTTAATGCTCGCGTCGTCAAGCCTCTTTGTCGACGAAAGATGATCCTGTCTGCTTCTATGCTCACGTCGTCGAGCCGCTACTTCGACTATAATAAAGAAGATGAACACCTGTGCGGAAATGAAAAACCTAGCTCACCAAAATTTTTAGGCCGCATAAATGAATAGGGATATCGAGCGGATAGCCGAAATGAATAGGGCAAATTACGACTCTATTTTTTTTTAAAAGGACATTCCGATCAAATTTAAATAATATTTTAATTGGCACGGCAAAGCCGTATCCGACACGTATCTGTGCCGTATCGGAGGCGTATTTGTATCCGACACGTGCTCGATACAACATGCCTCATAAATAGGCATATCCGTGCAACATAGATAACATGAAATGAGCACACCTTTATAGAACGTTGAACTGGGAGAATAAAGATTCTTAATGCCTTGATTCCATCGCCCAAAATCTCCTTTCAATATCCCACTTTTTCTTTCAAGGAAACTAAAAAGTAAAAACTAGGCATGTTTAAATTCATGTGATTTATTTTCAGTTTTTGATAAAGAACGATTGATATGCTTAGCAAAATTTTATTCATAAATTTTTTCAAAAATAAAACTCATCATATTAGACAATCAAATTGAAAACTTATTGTTTATATGAGATCGACTAATACATTCATGAATTTAAAATGAATTGAAGAACTTGCTCAAAAATTAATAGAGAATAATGAAAAATAATATTTATCATTTGGTATTTCAATTTATAAAGCTTGTTTTGATATAGATAATTACAACAACAGTCAAACAAGTATTCTCTACAATGAACATTTTAAAGAACAATTTACGCAGTCATATGAAATACTCTTGGATAAATTGTTTACTTATATTGAAAAAAGATATATTTAATAGTACTAATAATGAAATAATTGATCAACAATTTTAAAATATGAAGACCCGAGAGTAAAAAAATTATATGTAATATGTAAGAAGAATGTGAAAAACCAACATTCTTAATGGTAAATTTTTCCTTTATCATACATTCCATCTTTTTATAATGATACTTGAAAAAAAAATAAAACAACCAATATCGGTTCCAAGCTTGGATGAAAAATATTGAGAATATTTGTAAATTCAATCTATATAAAAAAAAATCCTAGCTCCGTCTCTGCCTCAACGTCATACATGAGAGTAGGGGTGTCAATATTGGACCTAACCCGAAAACCCGACCCGAACCCGATCGAAAATTTCGGGTTTGGGTTGACCCGAACCCGAAACAAGTTGGGTTCAGCTTCAACAACTCAACCCATTTCAAAAATCGGGTCGGGTTCTGGTTGACCCTTTGAACCGAAATTGACCTATTTTTTACCTGAAAACCCGTTTTTGACTTGACAACCCGAGATTTACCCGTTTTTTACCTGAAAAGTTGAGATTAACCCATTTTTTGACCCGAAAACTAGTAATTTTTTATTGACACTGGGTCATTCGGGTCGAGTTAAAACCGAAGCGAGTCGGGTTCAGTCTGGAAAACCAACCCGTTTGCAAAAACGGGTCGGGTTCGGGTTCGGGTTGACCCGAATAGTGCCGGGTTAGTTTCGGGTTCGACCCGAACCCGACTATTGACACCCCTACATGAAAGGGAGAAGAGTGACTACCAGGCCTGCCATTCAATAGAATTTGCTCAACCCATTTCAAAAATCGGGTCGGGTTCTGGTTGACCCTTTGAACCGAAATTGACCTATTTTTTACCTGAAAACCCGTTTTTGACTTGACAACCCGAGATTTACCCCTTTTTTACCTGAAAAGTGGAGATTAACCCATTTTTTGACCCGAAAACTAGTAGTTTTTTATTGGCACCGGGTCATTCGGGTCGGGTTAAACCCGAAGCGAGTCGGGTTCAGTCTGGAAAACCGACCCGTTTGCAAAAACGGGTCGGGTTGACCCGAATAGTGCCGGGTTAGTTTCGGGTTCGACCCGAACCCGACTATTGACACCCCTACATGAAAGGGAGAAGAGTGACTACCAGGCCTGCCATTCAGTAGAATTTGCTTGCTAGATCGAACTTCGAACACCCAAGTTAACACACTGGGAAGGGTAAGGGTTCTATTATCCTCGTTCCAAAAGAGATTATACCCATTAATAACATGATATGTTGCACCGATATAGATATAGCGAGACAGTGCCCCCATAACAAAATTTTATTATAAGAGTTGCTTTAAAGTTTTCTCTACCTTCTCGATACTACTTGGTACCATTCGGTACCCCTCTGTACCAAGCAGTACCGAGCAATACCGAGTTCCGGTATCGAGCAGTACTGAGCATACCGAGTTCAGGTACCGAGTATTGAGCAGTATCGAGTACCGAGCAGTACCGAGTATCGAGCGGTACTCGGCAGTACTGAGTACTGAGCGGTACCGAGTACCGAGCGGTACCTTGTTCCGGTACCAAGCCTACGATTAAGAAAATGAAGAACGAAGAAAACGAACCTTCAATGCTCACGTCGCCTTCACTGTTCGTGTTGTCGAGTTGCTCCGTCGATGAAGGATTCTGCCGGCTTTAATGCTCGCGTCGTCAAGCCTCTTTGTAGACGAATGATGATCCTGTCTGCTTCTATGCTCACGTCGTCGAGCCGCTCCTTCGACTATAATGAAGAAGATGAACACCTGTGCGGAAACAAAAAACCTAGCTCACCAAAATTTTTAAGCCGCATAAATGAATAGGGATATCGAGCGGATAGCCGAAATGAATAGGGAAAATTGCGGCTCTATTTTTTTTTTTAATAGGACATTCCGATCAAATTTAAAGAATATTTTAATTAGACACGGCAAAGTCGTATCCGACAAGTATCTGCACCGTATCGGAGGCATATCCGTATCCGACACGTGTCCGATACAACATGCCTCATAAATAGGCGTATCCGTGCAACATAGATAACATGAAATGAGCACACCTTTATAGAACGTTGAACTAGGAGAATAAAGATTCTTAATGCCTTGACTCCATCACCCAAAATCTCCTTTCAATATCCCACTTTTTCTTTCAAGGAAACTAAAAAGTAAAAACTAGGTTCTTTTTTGTAAGAAATGGAGTTGGGAGAACAGCGAGTAGGATTAAAGTCATCAACAGTACACCCACTGTTCATATCCACAATCTAACATCTCCAAAAAAAAAAAGGTTGAAAGGTAGTTTTATTCTCCACGAAAAAAAATAAAATAAAACACTAGATTTTTTAGTTAATTCGCACACTTCAGAGATAAAGTTTAAATGAACCTAAGCGCATAACAGATGTCAAATGAGAAAGAAGGGATCTGGATTTGACAAAGGATTCATTTGAAATTATAGGCGTGCAAAACAATCGACTAACCAAAAAATCTGAACCTAAGTGAATAAACCAGTTAATATAGTTTGGTTCCATCTAGGTTTGCCATTCTGTCTAAACCAACTTCTTTGATTTGGTTTAGGTTTAAGGTTTTGTAAAATCAAAATAAATTAAATCAAACCAATTAAGCATAGTATATCGAAATAAATTAAACAAAGCCAGTTGAAATCATTAAGAAATATTTAAAACTATAGAGAACCAAATCAAATTAAACAGAAACAAATAAACCAACTCCTAATGATTTTTGTTCTTAAACTAAAAATTGAATAAGAATTCAGAACCAAACGAATCAATCGGTTTGGCTTGTAATAGTGATGATTTCAGGCTTCATTTGGTTTGCTTTTAAGTAATAGTAAATTTGAAACCAAACAGAATTATGTGCACCCTATTTAAAATTAGGGATTAACATATTAGATGTGTTTATTGATGCATTGAAAAGTTGGGTGCTAAGTTTTGTTAAAAGCAGTTTGATTTACTATTCTAGATTTCCACTATTTGAATGTCACCCAAAACAAACATTGCATTGGCATAATATTGATAAATACCTTTGATCCATCATGTGACCACCGAGCACCATAGCCTTCATGGATGCGAATCTCAAATACACGGTTATGGGTTTGAATATCATAGACATTCATCCAGCAGCATTCATTTAGCAAATGGTTGACAATCTCCGACGCAAGCCTGTTCTTCTCAGAATCTAAAAAGGCACGTATAGGAAACAACCATCATCAGATGATGGATAGAAAACAAGCTTCTCCTAAGGGCATCTCCAATGGAACGCCATACAAACATATGGCGTTTCTTTGATCACTCCATCCGAGCGACATTTTTGCCGCTATTCACTGCAGGTGCACAGTGCGACGCCAATATTGACGTCGCACTGTTCACTCACCATTTGTTTTTTTTTTTAATTCAAAATTAATTATTACTGCATTTTAGTGTATATAAAATGAAGTATGGGAAAGAATATATTAGGAATATTCTTTTTTGGTGCTAGAAAATTTGAGTTTGATTGGAGACAAATTACTACATTTTGGTGTATTACTGCATTTTAGAGTGAAAAATATGTTTTTCAGTTGGAGATGCCCTAAAAGCCACTGGGCCAAGTAGAATTTGTAGAAGTTACACACCACCTCCACGAAAGCTGCCCCACCATTCTTCACTACTCCTGTGAACATGCTTTGCTAATGACCTTGCAGCATCAGTTAGGGTAGAACCTTCAACCTGAAGAAAAAATAGTTGATATTTGAGATATCTGTTTACGGCCACACATGTTTGGATATTCATAATAAGAATAGATATTAATTAATAATCTGCAAACAGTAAGATTAAAATAAAAAGTAAAAAACTGTACAAAAGAACTTGGCTGTTTGAAAAAATGGCATACATTTTGAAGGGGAGAATACTTATTTATTCCAATTAAATGATAAAAATTTCAAATTTTGTCCTCTCAACCCAACAAAAGAAGTCAGCCCAACCGCTTTACACCAACCAACTCCACCCCACAAATTATTCCCAGCACACCCCACAACTCCCTTCAATACACATAATCATAGAAAAAATGTGTTGCAATTCAGTTTAGTATGGTTAGACTAGTTACTACCAGGGAAATAATATATGGTTATGATCCAAAGAAACCAATTGATCTTCCTAGTATGCCCTTCACATTCATTTTTTTATTCAATATTCATTTTTGCAAAAGATTTTCAAAGCCTTCATCATTATGTTAGACAAGAATTAGAAGTGACTAATATAAAATATACTGATGCAATAAATAAAAATAGAAATTTTATGAAATATAATATTGGAGATCAGTGCTAAATAAGAAATTTGACACAAATGCATATGTTCTTGAATTGTCAAAAGCCATATTTATTAACCCAATTTTTAATATAAAGGATTTGTTATCATATAAGGGAGTTAGAAAAACTCCAAATATGCAGGATGATTCTTTTGCAGAAGGATAAAATCATTATTTACAGGTACCTACACAACATTCCTTCTTTAAGATGGATCATATTATTAGATGAGATGTTAACAAATGAAGATAGAGAATATAAATTTTTCGTGAGATGGAAGGACAAACCATCAACAAAGGACACTAATTTACTAAAGATGTCTTAAATATACTTGTACCAGAATTTGTGGAGTACATTGATTTCAAATCTTCAGAGAAGAATTTTTGAAAGCTCATGAGAATTGATGTGACACAAAATACTTATACAGAAAGAAATGGACCAATAACTAAAGCTTAGGCAAGAAAGTTAATAATAATCAAGGTCCCATGACTAAGTGCAAAACAGAGTGTATTAAGTATAACTTAAATTTTATGTGTAATGATTATTTTTAAGACTAAATATTTGTAATTTTAAATATGTGGTCTCTAGTACGATTTTAAAAGGTGAATTTCAATTTTTTATATTTAAATTTTAAAAATTCAAATTTAGAAAATTTTGAAGTTTAGATTTTCAAATATTGAGAGAATGTGATTTTAATTCAGGTGAAAATGTTTATTTAAATAAAAGAAATAAACATTAACCATGAAAGGTTGGTCGGCTAAAGCAAAATGCAAGGGTGGTTATCTCACTCTCTTATTCACTAGCGTGCCAGCCTTCCTCTCCTTTTTCCTCTCTAATGCATTTGAAATTGATATTTGTATACACTATTTATATTGGCAAGAATAAGAAGTGAATGGTTGTTGTTATTTTGTTAAAGATTGGATTTTATTCTGAGGGGATTTGGCAGTCAACTACATCACTGAAAGAGTTTGGCGATTCTTTCAAGCTTTGCCACTTTTGTGAATGAAAAGTTCTCAAATCTCCTTAAATCCTATCCATCTCTTACCATAACTTTTTTGCAATTTCTCCTCACACTCCCTTATGAATTATCCATCCATCCTCCCACAAAAATCTATCCAAAAAGCCTATATGAGCTATTGATCAAGATTAGACCAAATCAAATATATTTTGTTCTATACCACATTTGACCAATCAAAATCCCTAAAATTTAATGAAACCTTCCTAAATTAAAGTAGATACACTTTTCTTCCATTTCCAAGAATCTCCAAGACATGGATTTTCCACATTATAAAACACTTAAACCCTATATCCCAAAGTAGCAAATTTTGATTAGAAAACACCCAAACCCTATATCCCAAGTATATAATACAAATTAAATATTTTTATACGTACAAATTTATATTTAAAATTTATTTAGAGGTCCACATTCCATTTGATAATTTAATTTATTCATGCCTCCTAATAAATTCTAATGATGTATCTATTAAATTATTGTGAAGTATAATGTATAATTTATGAAAATCGAGCCAGACAAATTTTCACTCATTTAATTCTGATTACTATAGTTAGGATGAGTGTTTGTGAGAAACGTGTCTAACTGAATTATCTATCTCTGTTATGCCTCGTAGTTAGCAAGAGGAGGTCAAAATAAGTATTTACACTCATTACTTCTTTAAGCATGAGTTGGATATTATTGTTCACAGGTTGCGACAAAGTGTTAAGTTTCAGTTAATTAAATTGTGGTTGCAATTAGTTATTGTATTGCAATAATTTAGTTGATATAAATTTGGCCTGTTAAATTAGAAGCATTAAGTGATAAATCAGACTTACATTGGGTCGGTGAAGTTTCATAAATGATGATAACAGATACGATCTTGGAGGAGGCAGAGCATCCAAAACTGTTCCCGCAGTGTGCATCATACCTAGAAGACTACCAACTCCTTCACAGCCCAGTCCCTAAGAATAGAAATGAACAAGATTTAAAAAAACATGTAAAACAGGTGGCAACTGCAAGATTTAAAAAAACATGTAAAACAGGTGGCAACTGCGCCAGAGGTATATTATATAATGACATAAAAAATATGAAAAAATATCAAAATACACAAAATTCTTTTACCATTAATGAATTGCAGAGATCAGGTTCAGCTTAGTTGAAGTTGACTTTTATAAGATTATTTCTACATTTTTTTAACTTCCTTTTAAGAATACCACAAAATTGGCATGAAGCTCTTCAGAACAAAAACATCCAAAACTTGCTGCAATTATCTAGAAATTTGTGAAAATGAATCAGTAACAAAATTGTATTCACTATTAGGACATTTTGAAAAAAAAAATACTGCATAGATGTATACACTCAAAAAAGTTGGGGGCCATTTTGGTCCCTCACAAAGAGTTGAGGGATCATTTTGTCTTTTTCTCATTATGAAAATATTCTTCACTTCTTTTATTTTAGTTCAATTTAATACTAACATTAGATAAAATTGTAATAACTTACGACAACTTAAAATAACATAGAACAAGGGAAAAATCTTAGAAAACAACATAAGAAAAAAAGATAACAATTGTGAAAGACTTAGGAGTTTGATCAGTAATTCCATTTTTTATAATTATAAGAAAAGAATTCATCCAATAGAGAGAATATTTTTCTTTTTTGATTTGTTACACAAGATTCAGTCCTCTAACTTGGTCGAGTGTTAGCAGAACCAGTACAGTACATCTTTAGTTCCAACGAATCAAATAATAAAAATTATAAGGCATTTGCATAAGTAATAAGAGATATTATATACAAAATAGACTATATGAAAGTAATTATGGAATGCACCATATTGTACTATATTATATAAATATTTAAAATAAAAAATACTATAATAACAAGAAACAATACAAATTATTAGATTGCTTCATAATAAAATATTTTTTAACAGTATAAAATTTGGTACTTTGCAGTATTAGATACAAATTTCATAAAATGCATTAAAATACTCTGTAAAATATCTATCATACACTAACATAATTACTATATTATATAAATATTTAAAATTTAAAAAAAAACTATAATAACAAGAAACAATAGATATTATTAGATTGCATCATAATAAAATAATTTTTTAACAGTATAAATTTGGTAAATCGCAGTGTTAGATACAGATTTCATAAAATGCATTAAAATACTGTGTAAAATATCTATTATACACTAACATAATCATTATTTCATATTGTGCATCATGTTATAAATAAACATTTTATAAGCATACAGGCATGATGGAGATCTGACGGTCTAAACTTGTTGAATGCGCAAATCTTATGTTCTACAACAAGCAAATTAACAACTTGATAATTTGAGGGATTGATTATTTTTTTATTTTGGAATTTTAATTTAATTTAATTTTATTTTATTTTTTGAAACATACATGCGTATGATGAGAATGGGATGTGTTCTTTTAAAGATTCCGACTCACAAGGTTTGCATCAGTATTTTAAATTTTTCATGGTCCAACTGGTACATTGATTTGATGCTTTTAACAATAGTTTGGAAGGCATGAAAAATATGTATGTATCCATATTTCTGCCTAACAAATATATAGTTAAATATAGGGGTGTCAAAAAGGATTGATGGGTTGGTTTGGGTTCGATCTGAATCCAGTCAATCCGAACCCAAGCCGTTTAATAAATGGGTCAAAAAAAACTAACCCGAACCTGGCCGGCTAGCAACCACCCAAACTAACTCATTTTGGTTACCAAAAAAATAATAATAACTTATCAACTATTAATTTTAGCATATATGATCAAAAATAAGAAAATATAAGAACAACAATTTAAAATACTGTGTAAAATATCTATTATACACTAACATAATCATTATTTCATATTGTGCATCATGTTATAAATAAACATTTTATAAGCATATAGGCATGATGGAGATCTGACGGTCTAAACTTGTTGAATGCGCAAATCTTATGTTCTACAACAAGCAAATTAACAATTTGATAATCTGAGGGATTGATTATTTATTTATTTTGGAATTTTATTTATTTTATTTTTTGAAACATGCGTATGATGAGAATGGGATGTGTTCTTTTAAAGATTCCGACTCACCAGGTTTGCATCAGTATTTTAAATTTTTCTTGGTCCAACTGGTACATTTATTGGATGCTTTTAACAATAGTTAGGAAGGCATAAAAAATATGTATGTATCCATATGTCTGCCTAACAAATATATAGTTAAATATAAGGGTGTCAAAACGGATTGATGGGTTGATTTGGGTTTGATCTGAATCCCATCAACCTGAACCCAAGCCATTTAATAAACAGGTTAAAAAAACTAACCCGAACCTGGCCTGCTAGCAACCACCCAAACTAACCCACTTTGGTTAAAAAATAATAATAATAATAACTTATCAACTATTAAGTTTAGCATATATGATCAAAAATAAGAAAATATAACAATAAAAAAAATAAGGGGAAAAGATATTAAACGTGCCATTTTCAAGCCAAAAGCCGACTTGCACAATATGACCAATTTAATAAACGGGTCAGAAAATGCAACTTGAACATGATCCATTTATTTAACAAGCCAAGTCGGTCATTAATTGACACCCCAAATTAATTATATAGTTATGAATACATATATAGGATGAATGTCAAGTGTATGTACAACATAATGGAGGTGACAATATCCCGTTACCCACTTCCAAGTGACACTAAACCAAGTGTTTCACTTTATTGGATTCAATTTTATGCCTTAGCATATTTATGGCCAAGTGTTTCACTAAACCAGGTGACAATAATGTCAAGTGTTCCACTAAACCAGGTGACAATATTTATTGCCTTAGGATGAATGTCAAGTGTTTCACTTTCAATAATAAATCTTTCTTATATTGGATTCAATTAAGTATCAAATTTTACATTTGAAAAATTAAATGATCTAAAAATCAAGCAAGAACTAATCCAGTTCAAACCCAAATAGTCCTGAATTCATTTTTGGATTCTCTATAATCCATTTTGAATTTCCTAACATATTTAAATTTAATCCAAAATCTAGATTGAAATATGGATTGTGGGGTGGCTTCCACAACCAATCAGATCCAAATTTCAGTTTCAAAATAACTTAGAATAAAGTGCAGTCGCTTTGAATTCAACTTTGCAACTAAATTTGGACAGTATGATACCTAAGCCGGCAGAATTCTGATTCTATAATGGCTCATTTTCCTTGAATTCCGATCTAAAGACTAACATCATTAAAATACCGAGTGTCGGAACCTAGATTAGCTATTTGGTTAGCCACTGCTAAACTACTAGGCTACTAGGAACCTGATCACAGAACAGTACATCAATAATTTTTTTAGTAATTGTAATGGATTGAGTTTGGTGTAGATTGCTCCATAAATATTAATTTGAGGATAAAATATATTCTATTTGATATACTCTATCCAATATGCTTCTTACTTCTATACTGATAAGATTCAAATGGTACATGTTACTTAATATAAAATACAAATAGATACGTACCGAAAGCAGGTTGCCCAATAAAATATAAGGCTGGGAAGCTGGTTTCAAAACATGAATCGCCAAAACACCATTTGACTTTTCCTTCTCCTCTGTATAAAATTTTCGGTAGATTTGCACACCTGAAAAATACACATTTTATTTTTAATGGAAAATAGCAACACTGCGATCTGAAATGTAAAGTCTAGTTGTTCCAGAACCAGAAATTTTTTTAATAAATGTAATATTTTATTTACCAATTACTACATAACTTATTGAGGTCAAAGTGATCTTTGCATGGTGACCATAAGGGAAGAGAAAAATTGAACAACAAGCAATTAAGATGACTCAGTTATCACCTGATAATGTTAAGATGGAATACCTATACCTGCACCCTCAAACTCTGAGAGTTCCCAAGACCATACTAATAGATCAACATTCACATATAAGTATGATATTCAAGGATTGATGTACTGAAGTAACTTCAAAAGTACCAAAACAGGCTGCAAGAATCCCAAAATCTGCTGAGTCTCCCTAAGAACCGGTCTAGGAAGGTGGAGGTTCAAAAGAATGGAATAATCCAGTTTATAATTTCAGGGAAAACAGACTTAGCCTACGGAGTATATAAGGATGAAATTATGACTAACTTGCCTTCTTCAACAGTTGGGATGCCTGGAAGAGCATTAGCAAGTTCTACTTCCAGCATCTCAGAGAATGAACGATAATATCTGACATCCTGCAAAGTACCACTGAAAGTCGACAAAAAAGAAGAATGGGGAAGAAAAGAAATTTCATGGAACAATCTATCTAGCCCAGCATTTTATTAATAGGATGCCATTGTTTCTTAACAGTAACATTACGTGCATCACTTAGTGAAAAAGATTAATGTTAAATTTGAACCATAGCAATTGAAAGCAGGGCGGATTTTTTATATATATAGAAGGTAGGAGGCGAACAAAAAAAAAGCTATCCAAAGGTGTATGCATAGTATAAATCATGTGAGGAAATCACCTGAACTTGGAGCAGAAGAGATCTATTAAACAGAAGAAAAGAACCAGCTGAAATCCTGGTATCAAGTCCAACATTTAGTAAAACTTCAGCAATTTGACAACAAAATACAATTTATACCAAAAAGGTTAAGCTGAAAGTAATTTTCATTCAATTCTTCTTAATAATAATATAAAGTTTACAGTCTCTCAGTGCAGATCCATATTGACAATGAAGTCAGTATATAACTTTCTTTCTTTTTCTTTTCTTTTTCTTTTTTTTTCCAAATGGGCCGGTAAATTGGCTACAAATAAAAAACCAAACATAGGTAGCTAAAAGCTCCAGAATTTGATCATACCAAAACAGTTACCACCAGTGAAACATAATTAAGATTATTGCACATTTAATTTGAATTGCTCATCCTTTTTCTTTTTCTTTTATTTTTCTCCAACCATTTGGGACGGGTGAGAATCTAGCTCTCAAAAAACCCAGTTGGTTTCCAACAAAAGCCATGACACAATTTCTACAAGGAATTATCACTTGAAGCAGAAGACTAAAAATAAATGAATACAAGGGGGCATATGTAGTGAACCAAACCTAGCCAAACTGGACAAGCCATCGCCAATCCTAAATTAGCTCGAGCAAAACACAAAGCCATCTTGTGAATCACACAATTAACCCAGCCAACCCCTCCTTAGTTTCCTTCACACTTGAAATTCTCCAGCTATCTGACCACCTATGATGCAATTTAAGGAGATGACAGCTAGGGCATCACACCTCTCCCCATTTTCTTTCTCCTGAGCTGCCAAACTTCCCCCTTAGTCCCTCCCTCTCTGTTTCTCTCTCTCAAAACCAACGACAGAAAACATCCTCCCTCACACCAAACCATCTCCTTCACCTTCTTCCTCCTCGAGTAAGAACCACTGAAAACAATTTCTTTCTCCTCATTTATCTCTTCAACCAGAAGTAACCGCAAATGTTCCTCTTCTTCCAATAATCAATTCTTTTTTTCTTTGTTTTATTCTCCTTCTTTACTCATAAAACATACATATTTTAGTAATATCTACAGTTGATATTAGATTAAATTAGTTTAAGTTTTATAAGTAGTTGAAATTATTAGTGTTGGGAAATAAATTTGGAGAAATTATTATTTAGTTCACGAGGGTAAAACAAATCGTTGAAATAATTAATTTAGGTTTATTGTGAGTAACATATTTTATTTAGGTTGTATTTTTATTGAATAACACTTAAATTTTAATGTCTTTATCAGCATACCAATAATTATTTGAAAGCTCATATTGTGTAGGGGCTTTATCTTGATTTTCATCTGATGTAGATTGGTTGGATCTCTATTAGCATTGAGTTTCGTAGCATTCCCTTTCAGGTAATTAATCTTTATCTATTAAGGGATATGTGTACACTTCTTTTTTATGGTTGTTGTTTTTTTATGTTTGTAATAATTACTCGAACATTTTATGGTTGTCAATTGCAAATTTTACAATCAGCTATTGCTCTCTACATCTTAGTAGATATCATTTGAATAATCCTGTGATAGTAGTGCCTTATTTTTTAATTGTTATGTCAGCTTTTGAAAATTTGAAATTATTTATACAACAACAAGCTTTTATCCCACTATGATAATGCATATTGGCCAAGTTAAATATAATAGATCATATTCCTCCAAACATAATACTTTAACACGATGAAGGTTTATTAGCTTGAGCTAGAATTATTAGCAAGATCTCAAGATGCATGATGCGATAATGTGGTAATTTTCAAGCAATTTGTAAAAAGGAAAAGAGTGCTTGAGTTTATTGCAGAACCCAATAATGACTTCAGCAAAATTTGTGTATAAATCTTAAGAAAAAAAACTATCATTAAATCAGGTGTTTTCTCACATACGAACTGAAAAAGGAAGAAGAATGGAAATGCTTGACGTTCCAATCTCCAAAATATCTACCATGAAAACCACCTAACCCCAAGATAAAGGACTTGTTGATATAGACTCTTTCCTTTAAGAAGAGAAAAAGCCTTCATTCAAAAGCAATTTATGGCATAACTACATCAAGAAGAAAGTACAACAACATCAAGCATTTATCCCACTACGTGGGGTCGGCTACATGAATCATTTTTCTCCATTGTTTCCTATTAAAGGTCAAATTCTCATTTAAATCTAATAAAGAAAGGTCATTCCTAATATTTTCTAACTAAGTCTTTTTAGGTCTGTCTCTACCTTTCTTAACATAAGTCAAATATAATACCTCTACTCTCCTAACCGGGTCATTGGAAGGCCGCCGTTTTATGTAACCAAACCATCTAAGGCGACTCTCTCTAATCTTATCTTTTACTGGAGTTACTCCAACCTTTTCACGTATATGCTCATTTCGTATCCTATCTCTAAGGGTAAAGCCACTCATCCACCTGAGCATCCTCATCTCTGCCACACTTAACTTAGTATTATGCTTCTCTTTTAAAGGCACACATTCGACACCATAAAGCATTACAGACCTCACTACCATCTTATAGAATTTTCCCTTAAGTTTGAGGGGTACATCTCTATCACATAACAAGCCCGATGCATTCCTCCACTTCAACCATCCAACTTGAATTCTGCTGATAATATCCCCATCAATTTCACCATCACTCTGAACAATAGATCCAAGATATCTAAAACGCATACTCTTATTAATGACTTGATCGCCCAAAGACACAATCCCCTCACTTAGGTCAATTACTACTAAAATTTACCTTACTCCATATATTCCGTTTTTAGATCTACTCAAGCGAAAACCTTTAGTCTCTAATGTTGACCTCCATAATTCAAGTTTACTTTCAACTCCCTCTCTAGTCTTTATCAACAAGAAGAATATCATCAGCAAAAAGCATACACCAAGGTACATCCTCTTGCAAATGTCTAGTGAGAACATCCATAGACTAAAGCAAAAAGATATGGGCTTAAGGCTGATCCTTGATGTAACCCAACCGAAATAGGAAATACTTGGTCAAACCACCTTGTGTTTGAACACAAGTAATAGCTCCTGCCATACATATCTTTAATGATTGAATTATAAGCATTATTAACTCCTTTCTTTTCAAGAACTCTCCATAGCACATTCTCTTGGAACTTTATCATAATGCTTTTTTCTAAATCAATAAATATCATATGTTAGATCTCTCTTATTTTCTCTTATATTTCTCCATCAAACCTCTTAATAAATGTATGGCTTCCATAGTCGACCTACCCGGCATGAATCCAAATTGATTTTTGAGAAGCATTAGTATCACACGCGCATACCGTATGCCCTTGTATTAATCGCTGCTCTATACTTTTAAAGTATGACACATTAATTTAATTCCTCTATAATTCGCACAATATTGTGCATCACCTTTATTCTTAAAAATAGGAATTAACACACTCATTCTCCACTCATCTGGCATCTTTTTAGTCTTCAAAATAGTATTAAAAAGTTTAGTAAGCCAAGAGATTCCTTCATCTCCTAAGCATTTCCACACCTCTATTGGAATATCATCAGGCCCAACAGCTTTTCCACCCTTTATTTTCTTTAAAGCCTCTCTAACTTCAGTTTTACTAATACATCGATAAAAATAGAAATCTTTATTTTTATATAGGGTGCTAAGGTCACTATAGCTAATCTTATTATCACAATTTTCATTAAAAAGTTTAACAAAATATCTCATCCACCTTTGTTGAATATCATATTCTAAGAAAAGTATTTTTTTATCTTCATCCTTAATACACTTCACTTGAACTAAACCCTTACTACTCTTATCTCTTTGTTTAGCTAACTTATACATATATCTTTCTCCCTCCTTAGCATCTAATCTATTATATAAATCACTAAAAGCTAAGGTCTTTAAATCACATATTGCTTTCTTAGATTTCTTACGAGCCTCTTTATATCTTTCCCAATTATCGGAATTTTTAAAATTAAAACAATTTTTATAACAAATCTTTTTATTCTTAATCTTTTCTTGTACATTTGGATTCCACCACTAACTATTTTTACTATTAGGAGATTTTCCCTTTAATACTCCAAGCACATCTTTTGTAATATTCTTAATATCACTAGCCACTTTTTCCCATATAAAATTGGCATCTTCATGCACAGATAAAATCTTAATATCAAGAAGAAAGTACATGTCAAAGAAAAATATTGGGAACTCCTAAGAAAGTCCCCGTCTATGGAAGAAATAAACTTCACAAAAAAGGGCACGACACACCTTATCAAACCAAAAAAGCTCAATCCAAAAGAAATGGGCAAACTTAAGAACTTCCTCAATTTTCTGAAAAAATCATTTGGATCATGCTCTCTAACTCAAAATAATGACTTTTAACTCGAGTAATGTATTAAATAATTCTCCTCACAAATGGATCCTAGATTCAAAAGTCACTAACCACTTGACCAATATTAACAACATTTTTCAAACTACAAATCATGTCCCAACAATAAAAAAATAGAAGTGGTTAATGGTTCTCTAACAACTGTAGAAGGTCAACGAAATATTTTAATTTTCTCCCCATTTAACCTGAGTGATGAGTTACATATTCTGCATCTTGCAATATATTTTCAATAAAATCACTAAATACCACAACTACAAGGTAATATTTTTCTTAATCACTGTGTATTCCAAGGCATTACTATGGGGATCTTTATCTTAACATTCCTACAAAATAAACTCCCAAAAAAACTAAACATGTTACCTCTTCAAGTCTTACCCAGCTAAAATCTCCAACTTGATATCTATACCCAGATAAAATCTCCAACAAGCTCAAGACTCGGAATCATTATTAAGTAAAACATCAACCCATCACTACATATTCTTCTCCATATCCCATCTCCCAATAAAGATTTTTTCAAAAATTTTCTACCATCCATAAAATCTTTTTTATAAATATCAGCTCTAATTCCATTAAAATATCACAAATTTTATTTAAGGCACTTGAAAATAAAAATTAGAAGGATGCTATATGAGAAGAGATGAATCCTTTGAAAAAAAATCATATTTGGGAGATCATTGAACAACCAAAAGGAAAGAAAATAATATGATGCAAATGAT